GTTGCGAGTTCGAGACCAGCCTGGGCTACAGAGTGGGCTCAAGGCCAGCCTGAACTGCATAGCGACAACCTGTCTCAAAAAAACAAAAAACAAAAACAAACAAACAAAATCACATCGCTTTCTCAGAGAAACCATCTTTGATTCCCTGGTCTGGATCAGGTTCCCATGCTCTTGTCTACACAAAACTATATTATTACTTTCCTAGCACTGACCATAGTTTACAATAAAAATGCTTGCTTTCTATCTATCTATCTATCCATCTATCTATCTTTTGAAACAGTCCCACTATGTGGCTCAGGCTGGCCTTGAACTCACTATACAGCCCAGGCTAGCCTCAAATTCATGATCTTCCTGCATCAGCCTCCTTTGGGTGGCAGGCATGTGCTCCTCTGCCCAGCAATATTTATAACTTTTAAAATTAATGTCTGTCTAGCTCATTAGATGATGAGCTCCATGAGGGCAGGATCTGGGCCCATTATCCGCTCTCCACTGTGTCACTGAGCGAATGAAGAGTACAGCAGGAAGGCTTGTAGTGACAGATGACCTAACTCTAGTCTCAAACCCGCTGCTTGCTCATCCTGAGACTTGAGCTGGCTGTGTGGCTCCTTGCTTGTTAGGTGGTGGTAAAGTTGCTCAGATCCACTGGTTTGGTGAGGTGTATAAGAGTCCCATGAAACACTGCACAGATGGGAGAGGGGCTTAATTTGAGAAAGCCGGAAACCACTCAGTTGCCATGTACAGTTGAAGACAAACACTGGTGGGGAGGGACGTGGGGCTGGGAATTGAGAATAGCCGTGTGTGCACACGTGTGTACCTAGGTACCTGGTCTGGAGCCGTCCGTGGGCGCCTTAGCTCTGTGTACTTCCCCTAGCACTGTCCTCAGAACCCGTTGCTGGACAGCTTTGGACTTTCTGCTCCAATGTGGTGAAGGTGAGGGAGAACGCTGGAGGAGTGAGGCTGCAGGGGATAGAGGCGGGAGGGGCCCAGGTCCGTGTGCGTCTCTGCGCAGGAGTGGAAGGTGGGTCTTTTTTTTTTTTTTTTTTTGACTTTTTGAGACAGGGTCTCACTATGCAGTTCAGGCTGTCCTTGAGCTCACTTTGTAGCCCAGACTGGTCTCGAACTCACAAGGATCCTCCTGCCTCAGCCTCCCGAGTGCTGGGATTATAGGCGTGTGCCACCACGCCCAGCAGGAAGGTCGGTCTTGATGTTGGGGTGGGGAAGAGATGTACGGCCTTAGCGAGTTTCTGTTCTTTGAAGCCACTTGGAGTCTGCATGGCTTCTCTGTGTCCCCCACCCCCACCCCCGTGCTAGAAGCTCCTCCCACCGTAGTTTCCGTCCTTTGAAGTCAATCTATACCCCCTTACAGGACTGCTGAAGGAGGGGGACAATGCCCTCTAGTGGTCAGAAGCATTCGGCCGGGGCAGCCTCCCCAGCCCAAGTCCAGGTTTGGAACTCACTGCTGAAACATTTTCTGAGGACATGCAAAGCAAGATGACCGAGCCCTCAGAAAGCTGAGGTCACGCAGGCAGGAAGAAATTGCCCACAGGGCAGGAAACAGAAAAGCAAACCGTGAATTCATGTGGGAGAAGCCTGAAGACAACAGCGGGGAGAGGGAGGTCTCTCTCCTGCTCTCTGCAGTGATTTGTCTCCAGTTCCCCTGAGTTCTTGGTCTTTCTCACTTTCAGGGTCCTGATCTTTTACTCTCAGAGGCTGTGCCTCAAGGAGCTACTGCTTGTTATGCATGCCTGAAGGGCTTTGAGCAGAACTAAGGCCTTGTCTGTTGGGGGGCCACTAACTGCACCCTGTGGAGTCGGAATGCTTCTTGCTGAGGCAGTGTGTGAGCAGAGTCTTGAAGGACAGCCAGGCACAGCAGTGTGTCCCTGTGGTGCCAGCTGCTTGGGATGCTGAGGCAGGATCACTTGAGCTCAGGAGTTTGGGGCCAGCCTAGGCAAGATAGCCAGACCCTGTCTCTTAAAAATGAAAAGACAAAGAAAAATGAGTAGGTACTTTCCAGATAGTCTTGAGAAAGCATAGAACTGTGGGTGAACCCAGTGTGTCTAGGGATGCAGGGCTGGCATGAAGGGACAGCAGGAGGAAGTAAGGCTGGAGGGTATGTGGCTTTCAGCTTTGTGGGTCCATGTATCGGAGCGGATTTTACCAGGAGGCAAGGGGGAATGAGAGTCCTTAAGAAGGGGAATGGTCAGCCATGCAGCATGGGCGGCAGGTGGGGAGAAAGGGCGGGCAGGTAGGGAGGCAGAGAGGCAGGGAGGCAGGGAGGCAAGGAAGCCAGCTGGGAAGCTACTGTTCAGGCAAAACACTTTGAGGCCAGTCTGAGGGCAGAGGCATAAGGCTGGAGAGGGGCCAGACCCCAAGGCTGCTCTTCTTCTGGGACCTCTATGCCCCTGGCAGCACACCTAAGGCCAAAGGTTGCACAAGAGTCAGTTCTGGGGCTGGGGATTTAGCTCAGCGGCACAGCGCCTGCCTGGCAAGCGTGCGGTCGTGAGTTCGATTCCCAGTACCAGATAACAAAACAAAACAAAACAAGTCAGTTCTGCTAGAACCTGGCACCCTGCCCCCCATCCTCCATGTGCCAGGGTCTCCACAAGTGAGGAAGGGAAAGGCGGGGGCTGGCCCAGGGCTCTGGGATGGTGAAGGAATGGAAAAGCCCAGGTAGATGGTCCTGTCCCTGCTGCTCCTCCTCTGTCCCTGCCGAGGGAAGGTTAATCTGGGCCCTCCCCTCCTCCCTCCCCTCCTCCACTCCCCTCAGGTCACCTTCTTGGCCCTGGAGACTTGGCTGGTGGCTCAGGTTCCTCACTCCGTGGCCCCTGGGGAACCGGAGCACACAGAAGGCCCCACACGTGCGACCTGGCCCAGGGCCTCTGTCTCTGCACTGATCTCCGTCCCTTCCCCCGCCGGAGGACAGCTCCTCGAGCCCCTCTTCTGAACTGTTCCGGGCTGGGCAAGCCGGGAGGGTGGTGATCTGCTGGGAGGCTTTTCAGCTGCAAGACACAAGGTCCCTCACCAGTGCCAGGAACTGACCAGAAATGAGTCTGTGGTCAGTGAGAGGCCTCTGCTAATGGAACCTGGGCTGCCCCCAAGCCACAAAAGGCAGTGGGGGAGGGAAAGGGACCTAAGTGCAGCTCAGCATGGGGGAGGGGTGCAGAGCTGAAGTACAGCTGGAGGTCAGGGGAGAAAGAGGAAGGCAAAGGCGTCAGGGACTCACCAGGCAGAACTTGGGAGTCAAAGAAGGGACTGCAGGGAAATTGGGGGTTCCGAAACAACCTGAAGTAAACTGGGGGGCATTGATGCGTTGGGAGAGGTGGGGATCCATAGAATAGTGGGCCGGGTGTCTCAGGGTAAGGGGAACTAGGGAAGAGTTCGAGCTAGAGAGCGAGTGTGAGGGGTTCGACATCCCCAAGGAGCCCTGGACCAGGTAAGAAGAAGAGGGAGGTCAGAACTGGGGTGGGAAACTGAGGGAGATGCCGAGGGCCAGGCTGGAGGGGAAGAGAGCGTGCGTGTGTGTCTCGGGGGAGGCTGGGACTGTTGCCAGCTGAGGTCATCCTGGTAGTGGGAGCAAAGAATCGTGCTGGGTCCCACCTCACCTGGGGAGGGTGACCAGGGCCCTGGCCCTCAGCTTTTCCACTCTCTTAAAGCCTCTGTGTCTTGCTGGAACCAGCAACAGGAAAGGGGCTCCAGCCCCCGCTTCTCCATCACCCTCCCTTTCCCACTGTATCAATTATTCATGAGCACAGACTCCGCCCTCCAGAGCAGGACTGGCTGGCCCGGCTGGCCCGCCTCGCCCCAGCTCAGCCACACTGCCACAGAGGCCCGATGAGAAAGGGCAGCCAGCCGGCTTGCAGAGACCTGGCCACGGCGCTGGGTGGCTGGCCCTGCCGGGTTCTTCCTAGGGTCACATCTCTTCTCCCTCCAGCATTTTCCTCCCTCTTCCTGCCAGTTCCCTGGTAACAGAAAGCCCCTGAAGAAGATGCCCATCCAGATCTTCTGCTCTGTGTCGTTCTCCTCTGGAGAGGAGGCCCCGGGGCCCTTGGGAGATGCTTGGGGTCCCCAACAGCAGCAGCACCCTCGGAACAACTCAGAATCAGAAGAGGAGGAAGAGCAGAAGAAGATGTTGAGGAAGGACGCCAGTGAAGGGGATCCGCCTGTGGACTTAGTGGCCTTCGCCAACAGCTGTACCCTCCATGGCGCCAGTCATGTCTTTGTGGAAGGGGGCCCAGGGCCAAGGCAGGCCCTGTGGGCAGTGGCCTTTGTTCTGGCCTTGGGTGCCTTCCTATGCCAGGTAGGGGACCGCATTGCTTATTACCTCAGCTATCCGCACGTGACTCTGCTAGATGAAGTGGCCACCACAGAGCTCGCTTTCCCAGCGGTCACGCTCTGCAACACCAACGCCGTGCGGCTGTCCCAACTCAGCTACCCCGACTTGCTCTACCTGGCCCCCATGCTGGGGCTGGATGAAAGTGATGATCCTGGGGTGCCCCTTGCTCCACCTGGTCCAGAGGCTTTTTCTGGGGAGCCCTTTAATCTGCATCGTTTCTACAATCGCTCCTGCCACCGGCTGGAGGACATGCTGCTCTATTGCTCCTACAGCGGGGGGCCCTGTGGCCCTCACAACTTCTCGGTGGTGAGTGGGGGCCCATGCCTGTATCAGCCCCCGGACAGTGTGTGCCACGGCGCTTCTTGACTGTCTCCTCCCAGGGCTAGGGCTGATTGTTGTGTCCTCACCAGAGTCAGAGCTCACCTGGGTTACCCAGGGTCTGGATCTGATTGATATTCCCAGTTCCATGGGAGTTCTGCTCTTCCTGTTAGAATCTTGATGTCTGTCCTACTGGAAAATTAGCTGCTGCCCTGAGGGTCCTAAAATCTCCCTGAATGTCCCCCAGCTTCACCTGCCCTCCCCAGTCCTCCCTGTGGTCCAGCTGACCTTGCTCTGTCTGTAAAGTCTGCCTTTGACCTGTTGGCGGGGTTCCTACACTGGCCAATTGTGCACTATTTCATCTCGCACTCCTGGACTGATGTTGGGACACTAGCCACCTGGTCCCTAAAGGTAGAGTGGATGGCAGGAAGGTGGGGAGAGTGCCCTGCCACCCCTTGTCAGCAGCTCCCACAGCAGGGATGTCTTCTGTGCTCTCTCCTGTGGGAGCCCATTCTACCAGCTCTGTGGTATGCACACGTGTGTGTGTGTGTGTGTGTGTGTGTGTGTGTGTGTGTGTGTGTCTAAGAGTGAATAACAAGTCTCTAAATCAAACCTCTTTCTCCCAGCTTTAAGTAGCAGGGACCTTATTCCCAAAGGAAGTCCTCATAGAGAGATTCTGCTTTGCCCCTGTCTCCCATCCAGAGTCCTGGCCCTCTGTGCCACCCCACTGACTCCCCAGTTCATCCTCCAGTGCTTTTCTGAACTGATTCCTCTCTGCCGGCTCCGGGCTGCAGATGCTTGGCCTTCCTTCCCCACCCCCCCACCCCTCAGCACCCTTCTCCTCCCCGGTATAAGAGCAGGTGGCTGTCATCTCAGCTCATCTCAGTCCATGGAATGCCTTTAGACATGTGAGATGTGAGACCTGTGGGTTTTTGCAGCTGGAGCTCAGAAAGACCAGGAAATAAGGGAAAGGGACAGGAGAGGGTCAAAGAATCTTCCTCCACCAGGGTAGAGCAAACACTTCTCACTCAAAACCACCAGGTGGCAGCATCAACCCGCTGCTCCCAGCCCCGCCCTCTAAACAGGGTCAAGGCCGGTGCTCCCAAATGGCCTGGACCACCTGGACTCTCTCCCGTCTCCAGACGGAGGGCAGGCACCGGCGCTTGTCTGGCCTGAAGCCTGTGGCTGGGGGATAAGAGGCCCCTGGAGTTCTCTCTCTGTGCATCACCTCCCAGGCTTCACCCACAGAAGCAGGAGCACACAGCATGTGTTCTCTCCCAGAGCGGAACGGAGCAGACTGGACTAGGAAGGGGAAAGGGGCGAAGACTAGTTCCCAGTGACCCCGGTGGCCCTGCTGCTGCAGTCTGACTTGACACTTATCTCTCTCCTCTCTGGGCTCTGCATTCACCTTGTGACTCGCTTGGTGGACTTCGTCACCAGCCAGCAGTAGTAAATGCACACCCATCTCATTTCTGGGACTGTTTGGGGAGACCGGGGAAAGGGCTGTGGAGAATGTTCAGTCGTCTGGCCCAGCTGTGAGAAGGGCTTTGTGGGGGCGTGGAGCAGGGGCAGGGCTGCGGAGACTGCCCCAGGGCTGGGATTTCTTCAGAGATGCTCACAGCTCCACGAGAGCACTGCCAACAGCCAACATGTTGGTGCCCAGCCCGAGCGCTGGGAGGAGAGGCGCTGGTGCCTGGATGAGCGCAGCCCTCGCCGTGGCAGCTGGAGCTACTTTCAGGTTCTAGCAATAATGGGACAGTGCTGTGCGGACGGGGATGACGGCTGCAGGAAACCAAAAAGCTGGGCTTTCCCTGGGGCCTGGGTTGGGGGCAGGTCTCAGGGACAGAAGGGTTTCCAGTGACTCGGGTGAGATCCAAGAGAAAAGAAGACCTAGCTCAGCGGTCTGGCAGTGATAGGATCCTGGTGAGGGAAGTGCACATGTCAGGGGCCTGGCAAGAAAAAGATTACTACTTGATAGTTCAATCAAACAGGCTTTAACAAAGGGCTGTTTACAGAGCTGTGGGCAGGATTAAGAAAACCAATAAGCGCGGCCGAAGTAGCTTGCAGTAGCGGGAAACTGTTACCACTTCTAGGCTGAAGGAGCACAAAAGGAAATAGTGCCATGGAGGGAGGGAGCCCTCCTGCAGGAGTAGTACTTAGGGCGGGTCTAAGCCACTGCCAGCACTGCAGGGAGACAGAGTGCGGAGGAAGGGTCAGTGCCCCGTCTCTGTCTCCGTGTGTCTCTCTCGCTCTCTCTTCCTGCCTTCTGACCCCTTCTTGTGGTTCCCATCGCCCACACCCAGCCAGAAGCCCATCATGGTGGCACAGATGCTCAGGCCGTATGTCCCACGAGGGTCAGTTTTTCCAGGGCACACAGCAGGGCAAAGGACAGTGGAGAATAGGTGGGGAGGGGAACAAACGGACAATGGGCTGAAGAGGAGGAATTGTTCCTTCCGAAGAGGAGAAAAGGGAGTGAGGGCTCTGGCGGCTGGGAGGCCTGGGGACAGCCCTCAGCGGGTAGGGGCTGCCGGCAGGACTCTCAGCCGCTCTGCTTTGCCCCCGCCAGGTCTTCACACGGTATGGAAAGTGCTACACATTCAACTCGGGCCGAGATGGCCGGCCACGGCTGAAGACCATGAAGGGTGGGACAGGCAATGGGCTGGAGATCATGCTGGACATCCAGCAGGACGAGTACCTGCCAGTGTGGGGGGAGACTGGTATGTCACCTCCCTCGGGGGCCCTCCCCCTGGCTCCAGCCTCTACAAGGACATTCCTGGGCTCCCTGTGGGCCCGGGGGGAGAGGGCTCAGGCTCCTCCCGCTTCCCCCCAGGATATCTGTCTCCACTTTTGACTCCACCTGACTTGCACACTCACATTTCCCCGACTCCCTCTTCAGGGCTCAGTTACTCTCCAAGGTAACCAGCAGTCCTCTTCCATCAGCAGCCGCCACTCACTCTATAAATAACTCCCTCTTCTTGGGCTGCCTGCCTGTCTGGTCTCAGGGGGCCTTGGGGCTGAGAGAGAAAGGAGGCAGGGAGGAGCAAAAATGGGAGAGTGTCTGAGACAGTGACATCCTGGGGGAGAATCCAAGATGTACAGCAGACCCCAGGTAAGAAAAGAAATGTGTAAGGTTCAGGGGTCACTGGAACAACAGAGAAGGTGGCGGAGGGTGGGCTGGTGCCCCAGAGACAGCCTCACTCCGGGAGAGGTAGGGTGCGCCCAGCTCGGAAAGAGATCAGAGCCTCAGAAGTCCTCCCAACCTTTCCTGTAGATGAGACGTCCTTCGAGGCGGGCATCAAAGTGCAGATCCACAGTCAGGATGAACCTCCCTTCATCGACCAGCTGGGCTTCGGTGTGGCCCCGGGCTTCCAGACCTTTGTGGCCTGCCAGGAGCAGCGGGTGAGAAGCCTGTGGAAGCCTGGCCCTGGGTGGGATTTGGAGGGGTCTCGATGGAGTGGCGGTGATCAATAATGGGGGAACAGGTGAGCTAGGGCCTGGGTGGGTAGTCAGCAGCACGAGTGACCTAATGAACAGAAATGTCCTGTGAACTCTGAGCCCTTCAGAGGCTGTGGACAGAGAGGGGCCTACTGTGGCCCATCAAGGTGACTGGGGGAGAAGTTCCCACACTCCCCCAGCTCCCCGGCTTTCCCAGCAGCTCATCTACCTGCCCCCACCCTGGGGCACCTGCAAAGCTGTGGCCATGGACTCGGATTTCTTCGACTCCTATAGCATCACTGCCTGCCGCATCGACTGTGAGACACGTTACCTGGTGGAGAATTGCAACTGCCGCATGGTGCACATGCCAGGTCAGCCCCGGGCTCCAAGCACAGTTCTGGGGCCCCTCGACATGCACTGCCCTTCCCCTGCCCCCATCGTATCGACCTCCTAACCACTACCCCAGCTCCAGCCCACCCCATTCCTTACCTTTGTGCTTCTTGTCTCTCTGACCTCAGTTCCTGCCTGTGCCTTCAGGAGTGGCTGGAAGGGTCTAGAAAGGGCAGACTGCAGTAGGGGGGCACTTCCCGGGAAGACTGGGGCTCGCCGGTCCTCCTGTCCCGTCTGCTCTCCTCTTCTACCTTGCGGCACCACTTATAATCTCCATCCTGAACTGTCTTCTCTCCTCCACAGGGGATGCCCCGTACTGCACTCCAGAGCAGTACAAAGAGTGTGCAGACCCTGCCCTCGGTGAGCATCCTTGTCCTGGGGCAGTCAGGGAGGGAAGGAGCTGCTCCCAGCCACATGCACAGGGGCTTCAGCCCACACTCCCAGAAGCTTCCAGAAACCCCTGCACCAGACTGTACCCTAACATATATCTGACTGAGAATAGGATGTTCAGAGACCCCTATGAACAATGTATGGGGGTACCTGGGAGGGGGCTCACCCTCTTTCATCATCAGCCACTCAACAGTGCCTTGTGGGCCTTGAGGAAATGCATATAAGATTTTAAAACACCCATGGGCAGGCTGGGTGAGAATCAGCATAGAGTGGGCACAGGACTGAGGTGAGGAAAGGAGAAGGGCGCCCGGGATTCCTCTGGGCAGGGTCAGAATGTTTGTGTTGGGAAGGTCCTGGCAGAAGGTCACCACTCAACCACTGCCTTCCACCCACTGGGTGCAGACTTCCTGGTGGAGAAGGACCAGGAGTACTGCGTGTGTGAAATGCCCTGCAACCTGACCCGATACGGCAAGGAGCTGTCCATGGTCAAGATACCCAGCAAAGCCTCAGCCAAGTACCTGGCCAAGAAGTTCAACAAGTCTGAACAGTACATAGGGTAAGGGCTCTACTGTACAGAGCAGGGCCTTTAGGCAGGGCCTGTGGAGGGCATGAGTGGGCTTCGGGGGGGGGCAGCGGGCAAGAGGCAGTTGAGAGAACCTGGGGGAAGTCCAAGAGGCAACCAAAGAGGATGGGTGGGTGTGGAGGGAGGCTGAAGGCAGGACAGGCAATGGCAGCAGTGCTCGCTCCCTCCGTGCTTATCCTGTATGTCATCCTCACCGCTGAACTGGGGCCACTTCGTACATGGCAGTATGCAGTCTTCCTTCATTTCATGTCATCCTCGCAACATCAAAGCGCAGGTATCTCCATCAGTATCTCATTTCATGGATACAGAAACAGGTTCAGAGAGGCGAACTTGCTAAGGTCACCTGGCTAATAAGGGGCAGAGATATGACTTGAACCTAGGTCTCCTCCCTCAACCCCTGTGCAGGGAGAACATCCTGGTGCTGGATATTTTCTTTGAAGTCCTCAACTATGAGACCATTGAGCAGAAGAAAGCCTACGAGATTGCAGGGCTCCTGGGTGAGCTGCTGATGGTACCTGTTTCCTGCCATGCCTTGGGCATGGTGCGGCTCCCTACTACTGAAAGCAGGGTGCTGTCTCTGTCCTGTCCCCAGGGGCTTTCCCCAAGACCCCGATGTCATGGTATGCAGTGGGGAAGGAGGAAAGACAGCCTCGTGGCTGCGAAGGTGGGCGGGGGTGGGTGTGGAGGTAGTCTTTCACATGCACCTGAAGTTGACCAGACTCTGGGAATGTTGGGGTATTTTGTAAACGATTCTTTTTCCTGAGTAATACTTGTTCATTTTAGAAAAGTAGAAAAATGCAAAAAAGCATAAAGAAAATGAAAATCCTACCGCAATCTGGCTTTGCAATCCTTCCGTATGAAGGTTACCAATCCCTTTCCGAATATGGCTGGCCTGTCCCAGTCCCACTGAACCCTGCTGCTCCCACGGCATTCTGACCCCACTGACCCCCTGTCCCCACGCCCGCAGGTGACATCGGGGGCCAGATGGGGCTGTTCATCGGGGCCAGCATCCTCACTGTGCTGGAGCTCTTTGACTACGCCTACGAGGTAAGGGGCGGGGCGGGGCCGGGGCCGGGGCGGGGCCGGGGTTCCCGCCCGCCCACGCGCCCCGCCCCCTCCTAGGTCGTTAAGCACAAGCTGTGCAGACGCGGGAAGTGCCAGAAGGAGGCCAAGAGGAGCAGCGCAGACAAGGGCGTGGCGCTCAGCCTGGACGACGTCAAGAGACACGTGAGGGAGCGAGCGAGGCGGCCGCCCCCGGCCCGCCCCTCCCCCCGCCAGCCCCTTCCCCGCGCCACCTGCTCTCCTCCAACTCCCCAGCACCCCAGCGCCCCCCGCCCCCGTGACCCTTCCCATAACCAGTCCCTGTCCTGTGCGCTTCCCCTAGAACCCGTGCGAGAGCCTCCGGGGCCATCCTGCCGGGATGACGTACGCTGCCAACATCCTACCTCACCATCCGGCCCGAGGCACGTTTGAGGACTTTACCTGCTGAGCCCCGCAGGCCACTGTACCAAAGGCCTAGGTGGGGAGGGCTAGGAGAGCAAGGGGTCCCAGCTGCCCCCCACATCCACCCTGGGGACTCATCTGCACTTCCGGGCAGTCCTTTCCTCTTGTCTGTGATGAGGAAGGAGTCGGCCACAGAGTCCTCTCCCGGCCTCTATCCCATTCTTTTTATTTTAACAAAACTAAACTAATCTGAACAAGAGAACGGGGCAGGGGACCTCAGGCTGCCCCTCTCTGCTCCATGCTGCCTCCCCTAGCGCCCAGCCTGAGTTGTGTCTGTCTGGTTGTCAGTCATCTGAGTGTCCACCTACATTCCGCTGCCACCAGTCACCAAAGCCCCCTCCCAGTGAGGGGTGGAGGGAATCCCTGGGGTCTGGAATTTGGCCCCAAACCAGAGAATGTACTTTGCGGGGGAGGGCTAGTAGGGAGGGTTCCCCAGCCTTAAGAGACCCTCTCAGCCAGTGACTCCCCCAAACCCAAATCTCCAGGCAGGAACTAAAACCCCATCCTCCTCTCTCACACCATGTGGAATTTCTAGGGGTGAGGGGTCCCCTGTAGTGGAAATGGGGACACGATATGGCCCTGGTGCTGTAGGCCACATCCTGATACCTACAAGTCCACCCCGCGCCCCCCAACAGCCCTCCTCCACATCCCCAGAAAGACCTGGCTGGTTAGCTCCAGCTCAGGGTGAGGGGCACTGGTGCCTGGCCTCACCGGCCCCTCCCCCAGAAGGCCCTCTGCAAGGGCCACATCCATAAATTTTCTTATGGAACTCCCCAAGTCCTCTCCTCCAACTTCATTTGCTTCTTTCGACAACCTCATCTGCATTTTCTATTTCTATATGATACAGACTCTATATTGCTATATCTCTGTATATACTTCCCTCTGACCCTGTCTGTCTCCACCCATCCCCTCTTGTCTCCGACAACCATCCTCACACCCCAACTTCCCCCTTCTGTGTTTCCTCCCCTCCCCTGTCTGAATGCCTTCGCCTGTATAAAGAGTTGGATTCTCTCCCCTGGTGTCTGTACTGTGTACACACATCCCTCTGAGAAGCACAAGGAGACGACACGCGCATTGTAACCTTCGCACTGTCTCGGTGGCGACATAAAGGAAGCTGTGAATCACAAGCTCTGCCTCTTTCTGGCCTCATCCTCTCCCGCGAATCCGGGCACCTTCTGCCCTCCCTGCAGCCTTAACATTCCCTTCCCCTGCTCCACCTATCCCAATGCCCTTTGCCTGGCTGACTGTGGCCTCCCAGGGAAGGGGTTGCTACAGAAGTAGCCCCCACCCAGGGGTTGGAGAGCTGTGCTGGACACTAAGTCAAGAATGTTAGAGACAGAGGGAGCTGGGGATTGGTCACTTACGCAGCTGGGGAAGTGGGTGCCCACAGGCAGACGCTGAGGTCGTCAGTCAGTGGCCTTTCATTCCTCCTGGGTGTCCAGCCCCTGTTCCTCACCTGATGCCCAAGCCCACCACTTATATTTTCTGGTGAAGCAGGGTTTGGTCATGGGAGGGAAGAGGCAGGCCTAGAGGAGTGGAAAGCTCTGCTGTTCTAGCCTCCCCTACTTAAAAGGGACACAAATGAGGAAGAGGGCCTGCCCCACCCCCTCCACCAGGCAGTCCTCCCGGGCCAGACCCCAACCCCTTTCCAGGTCCTCTCTGCCCAGCTGTCTTTTGGTCTCCGATTCCCGAACAGGACCCATGGGCGCGTCACCTATGTGATGCCCTGAAGGTGGAGAGTAAGGCTATAGAGTCTCTGGGAAGTCTTGGTTGCTCAGAGATCAGTCCTCCCCAGAAGGAACCAAGAACAAGGCCAAGAAGTGTGTGCCGGCTGGGGGAACAGTAGGCAGGGCTCTCTCTGGGTGACGCATGCCTCTGGTCTAATAAACTGGGTTCCAACCATCTCTTCTTCAGTGTTTTCTTTTGCATTTGAATAGTATTTAGGTATTCCCACTAGATGCCTACAGCTGCGCTTGGCTTGAGGTCATACAATCTCGAGGAGTAAAAAGATTTGAACAGGGAGACACTCGTGCTTCTGGGATGGGACAAGCTGACCATCACATCAGGAATGGTTTGGGTGGGCAGGGAAAGAGGGAGGGGATCAAGGGAAACAAAAATCCCCAAATATAAATCCCACTGGAAAGAATTATTTGGAGAGACAGGATCAAAATTCAAGATAAACTGAAATTTCAAATCTGAAAGCAGGATAAAGTTGTGTTGAAGTTCCTCTTACGAACGGTAGTGATTGAAGCACTGTCTGGGATGAGCCCAGGACACCTCTAATCCACGATTTGGCTTTACCGCTGGTTCACCTTTGCCAAGTTATTGGCCTCCTGAATTGTTTTCCCGTTCCAAGATGGAATAGTGTGTTCCCTTCTTCAACTACCTGGAGTTACCGCTGTAGGAGAATGAAACAAAGCGATCAGAGCACTTTAGAGAGTTAAAAGCGCCGGGCTTTCTCTTGGTCAGCGTTGGGGCTGGAGCCAGAGCTGTGGTCCCTTTCTAGCGCCTCGTCGTCCTCCCGTCGGCCTGGGGGCGCCGGCTCACTGGGCCCCTCTATCCTTCAGCTCGTCTCTATGGTTCTCCCTCTCAGGACCGCGAAGGCGGGAGGGAGTGGTCAGCACGCCTTTTCCGCTAGTCTCCCCCTCTAGCCCACAGTCTCGCTGCCCTGAGCATCCCGAGCCGGCTTACTGGCCGGCGCACAGACGGGCAGGCGCTTGGGGGGCGTACAGGGGGCGGGGGGAGTTCCGGTTCCGGTTCTTTGTGCAGCTGCGGCGGCGGCTCCGGGAAGATGGCGGCCCGGGCGGGTTTTCAGTCTGTGGCCCCGAGCGGCGGCGCCGGAGCCTCAGGAGGGGCGGGCGCGGCGACTGCCCTGGGGCCGGGCGGAACTCCCGGACCTCCTGTGAGAATGGGCCCGGCTCCGGGTCAAGGGCTGTACCGCTCTCCTATGCCCGGAGCGGCCTATCCGGTGAGTGGGGCAGGAGGAGGGGCGCGCGGCCGGGGGCGGGGCCGAGCGGGGCCTGGCGGTGACAGGGGTACGCGCGAAGTGGGAGGGGCTCCCCGGGAGGGGTTCGGGTCCCGCGGGGGGCGTGGGGAGGCAGTTACCATCCCTGCGTGTTTCCAGAGGCATTGTTTCCGTGGGAAATCGGTAACAGACCCAGGGCCGGTGAAGTGGGGCTGGAGATGGGCACGGAGCGCAAAAAAGGGGTCGGGTAGTTCCCGTGCCGGCGGAACACAGCAGGCGGAGCTGCGGTTGCGCTCAGCTCTTAAGGAGAGAGCCGGCAGCGTGAGCGTGGGGCTGGAGAGATGTCCAGTGCATCAGGCCCGACACAGGCCGGGGAGGGTTGAGTATGACTGGGTTGTCTCTTACCTTTGGGGCCCTATTTTTCTAGGGAACTAAGACTGGAAGAAGAAGCTCCAGTTACCTATATTTTAGAGGCCAGAGAGCTCTGCTCGCATTGTCCTCCACCCCACCTTCTCGGGACAGTCTTCCATTCAAAGGACTCAGGTGTCCCTCCTCCCTTTCCCTTTCTTGGTGAAGTAAGCAAGGGAAGCTGTGACATTTCTGGGTCCTCTCCCCTCTGTAGAGACCAGGTATGCTACCAGGCAGCCGAATGACACCTCAGGGACCTTCCATGGGACCTCCTGGCTATGGGGGGAACCCTTCAGTCCGACCTGGCCTGGCCCAGTCAGGGATGGACCAGTCCCGCAAGAGACCTGCACCTCAGCAGATCCAGCAGGTCCAGCAGCAGGCGGTCCAAAATCGAAACCACAAGTAAGATGACCTGGGAGCAGAGGGAGGAGAGGGGGAGGGGAAGTCTGTGAGGACACGGCTGGTGGGAGTACCTGAGCCGGCATGGTGCTGCTGTGTTAGCAGATGGTGCTATGGAGACTCACCCTTGAGAACGCCTGGTAGTGGTAGTGGTGGAGTTGATGGTAGTGATTGGGGAGGGGGTTTGCTTTGAGAGAAACTGTACGGGGCCCTCACCTTACTATAAATGGAAGTTCTGGCAGCTTATCTTCATGTTCTGACTAGTTCTATCCCAACCTGATAACAGTACTTACTTTGAACAGTGCAAAGAAAAAGAAGATGGCTGACAAAATTCTACCTCAAAGGGTGAGTCCAGGCTGTAGGTCTCCTTGAAGGTATGGTGAGTTGAGAATAGAAATGGTCCACTCTAGATCCCAACTATATCTTTCTGTTCCTAAGATTCGTGAGCTGGTACCAGAATCCCAGGCCTATATGGACCTCTTGGCTTTTGAAAGGAAACTGGACCAGACTATCATGAGGAAACGTCTAGATATCCAAGAGGCCTTGAAACGTCCCATCAAGGTAACACAGGAAAGCACTAGGCAGAGAGCCAAAGGAGAGGGCTTGGGAACCTTCACCAGGCTTAGGATAAGAAATCAAAGGCACAGCGCAGCTCTCCTTGGCATTTAAATTGCATCTCTCCCTTCCGCCTACGAACCAAGAATTACATTAGGAACCCAAGAACAGAACAGCGAAGGGGGAGGGGCTTTTGATGTCTCTTGCACTAAAAATATACCCTGTCCATGTTTTTGCTGTAACTGCTCTGCTACCTTGGGAACCTGGCACCTTGCATGACTTTGTCCACCTGGCATCCCGGTGTATGCACTTGTACAGCGTGGCCTGTACTCCTCTTCTAAATTGAATCTTCTTCCACCCACCTGAGGGACTGGGTAGGCAGTGAGCCAGTCTGTTAGTAATTTTGGGGTTTGGGGAGACCCTTGTCTTCAGCATCAAACCACTGAAGCCCCACTATCAATCCTGTTTCTGCCTTCCTCAGCAAAAACGGAAGCTGCGAATTTTCATTTCTAACACTTTCAATCCGGCTAAGTCAGATGCCGAGGATGGGGAAGGGACGGTGGCATCCTGGGAGCTTCGGGTAGAAGGACGGCTCCTGGAGGATGTGAGTTCAAGGTCCACTGTGGTCGGTGTCCTGGGGGGGAGCTGCTGGGAATGAGCAGTGTTGCCTGGTCAGCAGGAAGCCTGACTGGTACTCAGCTGGGAGCACCAGGGAGAGGGACACTGTTCTCTGCACAGAAAGACAATAGTCCTTTGTATCTGCTCCCACAGCTTTAGCCCTCACTGGTATCATATCGAAAACCTTATTGTGCTGGGATCTGATTTGTTATTTACTTTCCTTAGAGTGCTGCCGACCACTGAATTTATCAGTATCTGCAGATTATTTAGTTAGGATTTTTATTTTAACTCGAGTGAGTTTGCATTTACCATTTGAGGCCACGTTTCTTCTCTTGAGTCCTTGATTCCTCTGATGGCATCTCCATCTCCCCAGCTTTTTGGAGATACCTCACATTATAAGTGGCATAGATTTCTTTAACAGGCTCTTTGTTGCTTCCTAGGGAGCATCAGCTGACAGGTGATAGCCCCCAAACTTCCCACCCAAGGAGCTCCTTGGGGAAGCTCACCTTTCTCTCATTTCCTTACACTCTCTGGCTCTCTATTTTTAGCTGCTTTCAGACAGGCTAATTGGGATGCATTTTTGTAGGAGAACTGGGGCTCAGTGTCAGAGCCTCCTTCTCTGTATAAGTCTGGTCCATCTGTTGGCCGTGTCCTTCTGTTCAAATAAAGCTGTTTTTGTTCTGGCTGCTTATTGCCTGTGATTCATTTCCCTTCTACAGTCAAACTTTTTTCCGTCCAAACTTGCTTTGTTGTGTGCAGTGGTTTGGCTTAACTTGCTTCATTTCCCTCAGGGAAATGAAGTGATAAGTCAGTGACCCTGTCTGTGTTACAGGCTGCTGCTTCAGGGTTGTGTTGCTACTATGACTGGTTTAATGCCCACAGATGCCTGCCTTGCCACCTCATATTCCAAAGACTTCTTTGAGTTTTTTCCTCATTGTTGCTGAAATTCCTTGTTTATAAGACTTTTATCTTGGGGATTTTTTTCCTGGCCTTTTCTAACATTACCTTTCCTCTCTCTTTTTAGTCAGCCTTGTCCAAATATGATGCCACCAAACAAAAGAGGAAATTCTCTTCCTTTTTTAAGTCCTTGGTGATTGAATTGGACAAAGACCTATATGGACCAGACAACCATCTGGTAGAAGTGAGTTGTTCTGTCTTCCAGCCTTTGATGCTATGACTGGAGGATGATGGATTTGGGAGCTGAACTAACAGCTAGGATGGGGGAGGTAGAAAATAGTTACCCCAGGTGCACAGTTCTACCACTGCAGTTTGTACATTGACCTGCAGGTGTCACTAGCTGTGTTTAATTTGGACCCAAGAGCTTGCAATCTCATTTGTCCTATATTTTTAATGTTAGTGTCCTAGCCGCTGCTCCCACTTTCAAGGGAAATGCTAATGGGGGCCTTTTTTACATGCCAAGGCATCTTGCTTGTTAGCTGTAATTACCCACAAACTGTTCATACTTTTTACTGTAGCATTTGCAATCGTTAAAGGATTGACTAATAGCGTATTAGTACTTGCCTGGGTTACCTTTATAGACCTAGGACTTGCTTGTGGTCCCTAGTCTCTTAGAATCACATTCTATATCACCAGAAAGCCTCTTACCAGTGCCTAATTGCACAGTGTTTTCAAAGTCCTGTTAGCAACAGTATTCTTTGAGAAACAACCAGAATGACAGTCCAGTGCTCCACATGACGTTAACCTACTCCTTTCTTTGCCAGTATAGCTGCAGCCCCTTAACCTCAACCACTAAAGAGACATGAGAAGGTCTTTACCATCTAATAAGGGAAGTAAGTCATAGCCTCAGTAGACATTTGTAAATATATTTAACTTAACTTTATAGCAGTAGAGTGTAGTGGCTAAGAATGTGGACTGTAGAATCAGGCATACCAAACTCAAATTGCAGCTCCACCACTTTCTGACTATTTGACCTAGGCAAGTTACTTCATTTTTCTGAGCATTAGTTTTCTCATCTGCAAATTATATGGATGTTCATGAATTAAATGATAATCCAGGTAAACGTCGTAGAATACTGTCACATGTCCTAAGTACTCAGTCTCTATGTTGTGTTTCTATTCACATATATATAAGCCATTTTGTGGATAAAATTACCCCAGAAATTCAAGCTAATTCAAATGTGATCCCAAACACTCAGAATTAAAAGGTTAATCTGCTTAGACACAGACAGTAATCCCAAAGCCATATGCAATTTGTAGGAATGCCTCGTGCTATTGCTTTTCTCCAGTAGCCTCAGTAATCAAAGTTGCATGTTCAGCCATTACAGAAGCTCTTCCCTCCTGCCCCAGCTCTTCCTCTGGGAGAGCACCACCTGACATCTTCCTCTCTGTAGTGGCACAGGACCGCCACTACACAGGAGACCGATGGCTTCCAGGTGAAGCGGCCAGGAGACGTGAATGTACGATGCACTGTCCTACTGATGCTGGATTACCAGGTAATCCTTGGAGGTGTGAAGGGGTCCACCTTTCACCACCAACATCAGTCTGACTTAAGGAGTTAAGTCTAGTAATAAATAATGTGTCACTTTAGCGGAGAAATAGTTCTTTGTTACCTCATAAATTCCTACTAGTAGTTCTCTACCCCAGAAGAAGCACTGCATTAATGTTTGCTGATTAGACTGTGTGTGTTGCCACATTAAACACCCCAACATGCATATAGACGCACCCTGGTAGCTTCATCCCCTACATCCTTTGGTTTCTTGCAGCCTCCCCAGTTTAAATTAGACCCTCGCCTGGCTCGGCTCCTGGGTATCCACACCCAGACTCGTCCAGTGATTATCCAAGCACTGTGGCAATATATTAAGACACATAAACTCCAGGACCCTCATGAGCGGGAGTTTGTCATCTGTGACAAGTACCTCCAGCAGGTAAGTAAAGGACCCATCCTTTTGCTAGAACCATCAGAATACTGAGTATACTCAAAATGGCAATTTGTAGCTGTTTTCATCTTCCCACAGATCTTTGAGTCTCAACGTATGAAGTTTTCAGAGATCCCTCAAAGGCTTCATGCCTTGCTTATGCCACCAGAACCCATTATCATTAATCATGTCATCAGGTAAGCATGTGTATAGGAGTCTGAGTGTGCTAGAGCTTATAGTAACTCACACAGCTAGTGTCAAACTTTTAGGGACTTGGCAAGCAGGTAGACATAGCTGTTATTTTAAATTATATTAACTTCTAATTAAACTTATCATAATAGAAATCTGCGTGACATGTACTTAAAACGTACTGCTTCCTCATTATACATTTTGCTGGTGTTTGCACTCTCGAGGTGAGTCTTGTCCGGGTGATGGAAATACAGTTACATAGTGATGTGCTGTTGCACAGCTCTTCCCAACTCCCTGACTGGTGACGGAGTGTTGGTGGCTAGAAATCAGCAAACAGTTGGCCATCATTGTTCCATCCCTTGAGGATCAGTTTTTACACTTGATCTTAGCCAAAACATCGAGAAGCGATTGAGGGTCAGTTTTTAACTTTTACAAGCTTGTGGCTGACAGGAGGAGTCAACAGACCTCTCTGGGTGGTAGGGCATTTCAGCCTGAGACTTCAGGTGTATTGCATCTGTTTGCTCTTGTTTAGGAAATACAGAGCAAGGTATCTAGGCAGACAGAGAGTGAATAAAGGTACTTCCTCAAAGCAGCATGTCTTTGTTGGATATTGTATCTGTCCTCTTTTTTTTTTCTTCTTTCTTTTTTTTTTTTTTTGTTTTTTGAGACAGAGTCTCTCTGTATAGCCCAGGCTGGCCTCAAACTCGCAACAATCCTCCTGCTTCTGCCTGAGATTATAGGTGTGTACCACAATCCTGGCCTATTTTTCTTTTGCTCTATCTAAGTCTGGTAAAGGCCTGTCTTTCTCTTTGGTCTTTTGAGACAGAGTCTTGATGTGCAGTTCAGGCTGGCCATGAGCTCACTTTGTAGCCCAGGCTGGTCTCAAACTCGCAACGATCCTCCTGCCTCAGCCTCCCAGGTGCTGGGATTACAGGTGTGCACCACCACACCCAGCCGGGCCTGCCTTTCTTTAGGCCCTGCACCACCACTTCCCACTAGTAACTTCTGATCCTGTACACTGGGTTCATAAAAGTTGGTGTGTAGCTGGGCGTAATGTCAAGTTTGAGCCCAGCCTGGGCGACTTAGCAAGACTCTACCTTGAAATTTAAAAGGGGGAGAGGGGTAGGAATGTAGTAGCTCATTACAAAGGCCCTAGGTTCAAAACAAAATCAAGAAACCCAAAACTGGTCTGTCCTGGATTCTTATGCTTAAACTTAGACCCCTTTTTACATGTGTTTGTGTGTGTGTGTTTTTTGATTTTATTTTGGACATTAATTTTAGTTTAAAAAAGAAAAAGATACATAAGACTTGTAGCAGTGGTTTCTTTTGGAGAGGGAGGAAATTACTTCTCATTGGATTCCTTTTGTATAATTTGAATTTTTACTGTTGCCTGTTTAAAAATAAACTTCATTGAGGTAGAACTTGTACTTAGTATTCTATTTGTACTTAGTATGTGTACTTAGTATTTTATCCATTTAAAGTAGGGTTTGATGCCTTGTGGTAGGAAATACGTACACAGCTATGACCTCAGTGAAGATATAGAATATTTCTTTTGTAGCCAAAAGTTCTTGGGCCTTTTCCTGTCAGTCTCCTTTCCCTTCATCCTTGGGCCATCTTTTTGGCTCTGTGTAACTTGGTCTTGGTGAGCGCCCCCTTTACCAGAATCCTTTGGTTTTCTCCCTAGTGTTGACCCAAATGACCAGAAAAAAACAGCGTGTTATGACATTGACGTGGAAGTGGATGATACCCTGAAGACCCAGATGAATTCTTTTCTGCTGTCTACTGCTAGCCAGCAGGAGATCGCTACTTTAGACAACAAGGTAGGGGTCTCTGCCCTGGGTAGTTTGGGTGCCTCCAGTTTCCTATCACAGCTTCTAGACCACCTTTTGCTTCTCAGTTTTCATTCAAAATATATTATACCCAGTGTATGTCAGGCACTGTGCTTGGTGCCAGTTAGAGCCAAACTCACATGAGCTCTGATTCTGGCCGTACCTTTTTTTTTTAAATTAGGTTTATTGGTACATTTTAGATATACATAATGATCATATTCATTATAGGGAATTTGTACCCGTACATGATATAACTTAATTATTTTTTTCCCCATTCCTCTACCCTCCTTTCAACCCCTTTTCCCCTCTTTTTTTTTTTTTTTCCTGTCTTTTTGAGACAGGGTTTCACTATGTGGTTTGGGCTGGCATTGAACTCACTTTGTAGCCCAGGTTGGCCTTGAACTCAAGCAGTCCTCCTGCCTCAGCTTCCTAAGTGCCGAAATTGCAGGTTGGGATTATAGGCATGCACCACTATGCCTGGCTTTCCCTTCCTTATTTATAAGACCTTTACTTCCATTTTTTCCTTCTTTTCTCATCGTTTTTCTTTTCCTTCCTTTCCCCTCCCCCTTCCCTAGCTCCCCTCCCATTTGAACATTTTCTTCCTATTTCATAATATCTATTACTATTACGTCCATTATTATTATTATATTTTGGCCCTTATTTACACTTTTGGTTTCTCATACCAGAGGAACAATGCAGTATTTATATGTGTGTCCGATTTATTTCATTTAAAGAGTATGTCCTCAAGATGCATCCATTTAGCTAGAAAGGTCTCAAGCTTATCCTTTATGGCAGAGTAGTACTCCACTCTCTAAAAGAACCACATCTTTTTTATCCATTCATTGGATGGGCGTTTGGGCTTTTTCCAAGATTAGCTATTACATACTGTTCTGGCCATATCTTTTATTTTTTTATTTTTTTTTTTTTGGTTTTTTTTTTGGTTTTTCTCTGGTACCGGGAACCGAACTCACGACCTTGCGCTTGCCAGGCAGGCGCTTTTGCCGCTGAGCTAAATCCCCAGCCCCCTGGCCATATCTTTTAAAGCATTGAGCCTCAGTTTCTGATCTGTGAAATAGAGACCATCATACACAAGTATCTCAGTTCATGAATGCTTTTTATTTGCAAACAATTTGGTTTGCAAACAGAACCATTTGGCAAAATATTGTATTGTTTGCAAACTATATTGTGACAAACACAATGTGGCCATGTTCCCTGCACAAACACAAATGTGGCCATCTTTTCCAAAATCATGGAACAAATTAAGTTCATAGCTGAATGTGGTGGCGTATGCCTGTAATCCCAGCACTTGGGAGGCTGAGGCAAGAGGCTCACTGCCAATTCAAGGTCAACCTGGGCTACAAATTTGAGTTCAAGGCCAGCCACAGTAAGACCCTGTCTCAAAAAACAAGCCAAAGGGGCTGGGGATATAGCTCGGTGGCACAAGTGCCTGCCTGGCAAGCACAAGGTCCTGAGTTCGATTCCTGGTACAAAAAAAAAAAAAGAACCTAACAAAAGTTAAGTTTGTGAACCAAGGCACCACTGTACCTGTTTTTATAAGAGTGTTATAAAGTTGAAATCACAGTGTGTTTAAAGGCAAGAGAGAATGTCTGGCACATAAAATAGCAAAAAATAGGTTCTACGACAGTTACTGCTTTCATCATCATTACCCTTAACCTGATTAGGTATAGTGCCAGCAAGCAAAGCCAAAAGTGCTCCAGAAATACAAAAGAGAACCAGGAGGTTTTCCTGGGAGAGTAAACGCCTCAAGGTCAACCTAGAAGGATAAAGTGGGAGTTAACGAAAGGGGAGAAAAGTCAGTGGTGCCAGGAGTATGGGAGGTGAAGGATATTCCAGAACGAGGGAGCAGCATGTGTAAAACTCCAGGGAGGAGAGGAAACCTGAAGAAGTAAAAGCCATTTCGTGTGCTAGAAAAAGGTTCAGGTGCCAGGGACAGGGTGTTTGGGGAAAGGAAGCTGAGTGGGAAGCAGGAGCCCACATATAAAGCTTGGATTCGAGGAAACTGGTTTCGCACTTCATTCTGCAGATAAAGGAAGGGGGCCTGTTGAGAGCTCACCAGGGAAGATGTGGTGCTGTGTGCATTAAAATGCCTGCTTAGGGGAGCGTGGACAGTGGACTGGGGAGGGCAGATCTTGGGGGCAGAAAGCCCAGAGTGAGGACTTGAGAAAACCAGAAGGTCAACCCTGTGACTTACAGACAGTATGGATGGAAATGAATAGACTGAAATGAGAAGTGTCTGAGTGTCCTTAAGGGATTTGGCCGTGGTTGCCTGAGGGTGAAGGAGAAAGAGGCACGATGGGGACTCCCTGGTTTCTGGCTTGGGTGGAGATTGGTATCCATTGAGATTGGGAAGAGGAGGAGTAGGCGCCAGAGAAGGAGAGTGGGTTTAGTAGTGGGGATACTGAGTTAAAGCTCTCTTAAGTCAAGAAAGCATGAGGTCTATTGGAATTTAGAAAGTGGATTCCAGCCTGGAGATAAGTATGTATGGTCCTGTCTGTGGTGCTGAACCGAGTATTTACCATGTAGTGGGGTTGAGATGAGAAGAAAACGGCCTCAGATGAGGTAGACAGAAGCAAATGCATGTCACCTGCTGAAAGAATGCCAAGGGCTAGCAGCACATGAAGGTGTCAGGCACCATCTGCCATTTAGCTTTGTGTTTCTGTCTTGAATGGTGTAAGTATCCTCCTTCCTTTTAGATCCATGAGACAATAGAAACTATCAACCAGCTGAAGACCCAGCGAGAGTTCATGCTGAGCTTTGCCAGAGACCCTCAGGGTTTCATCAATGACTGGCTTCAGTCCCAGTGCCGGGACCTCAAGGTAAAGAACTCAGGAGGGGGGCTGGGGATTTAGCTCAGCGGCAAAAGCGCCTGTCTGGCAAGCGCAAGGTCGTGAGTTCGGTTCCCGGTACCGGAGAAAAACCAAAAAAAAAAAAAAAAAAAAAACTCAAGAGGGGCCTGAGGGGACTTAGTTCAGTGAGGTACACGTCTGCTTTATTTTTGTACAACTGGTAAAAGAGTTGGAAGGGACATGAGAGCCTATATTTTCCCTTAGCACATCCCAGGGGCCATTTTACAATAAGTAGGGAAAGGGGCCAGGTGTGGTGGTGCATGTCCGTAATCTCAGCACTTGGGAGGCTAAAGCAAGAGGATCACCGCCACAAATTGAAAGGCCAGCGTGGGTACATTATTAGTTCAAGGCCAGCCTGAACTACACAAAAAGACCCTGTCTCAAAAAACCAAAACAACAAAAAAGAAAAAACCGTGATAAGTAGGGGAAGGGAGGCCATGTCCATTTAGTTCTTACTGGGTGCCGTCATTGTGCTCCATACTGAGAGAGGAAGGCCTGATCTCTGCTCTCAAAGCAGTATGCATTCTACTTGGAAAAATCAGGCTAGCATGAGTAAAAAGTAGTTAGCCGTGTAAGACATTATCAGAATTGACTAGAACCAGCAAGAATTCAAAAGAGAAGGGAGATCAGTGGGGCCATACTCATTCAGAAAAGCTTCATGGAAAATATGTAATCTGAAGATATTTCCAGCTGGCCATAGCAGTGCACTTGGGTGCAATTCCAGCACTTGGGAGGGTGAAGCAGGAGGACTGCTGAGAGTTCAAGGCCAGCCTGGGCTACACAGTAAGTTCAAGGCTGTGAACTACATATTGAGACCCTGTCTCAAAAAAAAAAAAAAAAAGATATTTCCCAGAGAGGAGAACACCGTAAGCTCAGGCGAGAAGGAAGGCATGGGCACAGTGCGTGTGAAATGTGCTCAGTTCTTGCCTAGGCTGTGGTTGCTGTTCCTATAACAACAGACTGCACAGAGGAGCAAGAGACGAGGAGTGCCGGAAGGTCCCCGGACCAGGCAGTGACTTGTGACCAGCAGGAGGTGGCTAGGCGCTGCATTAGTTTGCTAGGGCTCCTGCAGCAGACGAGCACAGACTGCATGGCTTGAAGCACAGAACTTTGTCTCACAGTGGTAGAGGCTGGAAATCTGAAATGAAGCTGTCAGCTGGCTTGGTTCCTTAGGAGGGCGATGAGGGAGAACCTGCCGGGCTTCTCTCCTAGTTTCTGGTAATCTCAGGCATTCCTTAGCGTGTGGGTGGCATTCGCCGTGTGTCTTCTTACCGTCTTCCTTCTGTCCATTCTTCCTCTTTGTAAGGATCCCAGGCATTGGATTGGGGTCCACCCTAGTGACTCCATCTTGATCATCAGCAGAAACTATTTCCAAATGAGGTCACACTCACATATGGGAATTCTAATTTCAACGTCTTTGAGGGGGATAAAATTTGACCAGTAGCAGATGCAAAGGTGGGAAACCAGTTCCTTTTCTTCATTTTCCTCCATCCTTCTCCTTAGACCATGACCGACGTGGTGGGTAACCCAGAAGAAGAGCGCCGAGCTGAGTTCTACTTCCAGCCTTGGGCTCAGGAGGCTGTGTGCCGATACTTTTACTCCAAGGTAGGAGCATGGGGCAACGGGAAATTGACAGAGGGCAGTGGGAGGGGCTGGGGATTTAGCTCAGCCGCACAGCGCCTGCCTGGCAAGTGCAAGGTCGTGAGTTCGATTCCCGGAACCGGAAAAAAAAAAAAAAAAAGGGCAATGGGTTTGCACACTTGGTGAGAGTCGGTGGTGTGGGGTACCAATTTCTGATCTGTCTCATCTTCCACTCCCCTATTCTCTCCTTAGGTGCAGCAGAGACGACAAGAATTAGAGCAAGCTCTGGGAATCCGGAATACATAGGGCTTCTCCTACAGCCCTGATTTGGCTGTACCAATTCATTATTCAGGCCCTGTGCTGCCTGCCTCATAGCACCTGCCTTGGTCTTGCTTAGGGCCTTCTAGGGATGCTGTTGGTTCAAGGACAATGCCAGAATGAAGAGGGTCTCACATTTCTGTCTCACAAGACACCTGTTACCCTCTTCTCCTGTCCCAACCCTTCCTACCCCCAGCTTCCCTTCGCCCCACAACGTTCCCATGTGCCTCTGCCCTCCCCTGGTCTGCCTCGGACCTCTAGATAGTGTTAGAGAACCTGTAGCAGTAACCAGTGCTCTGGATGGACTGGGCCTAAGGCCAGGTGGTCTTCAAGGGGACCAGCTACACTGATGTTGCCCTTCAGAGACCCAGGAACTGGGGGCTCTCGCCTCCTTCTCCTAGACTCAGGCCTGGGGCGCTCTGTAAGCTAGTTGACTTGCCCTCCTGATAACAGAATGCAGTTTCCTTCCTTCACACGTTCAGCGCAAACTTCCTTCACTTGTTGCCCTCTAGCACTAAAGGAACTCTGGCTCTTGGGCTCCACTGAGCCCAAGGTCAGTCCCCAGCCCTACGGACTGGCCTGCTGTCTTAGTGCTTCTCTCAACTCCTTAGTAGGAGTCCACATCAGTATTGGAGCTTGTTCCTGAACTGCCGCTCCCTCCCACACACTCCTTGTAGCTGCCCTTTGTAGGATTCCCTTGTACCTGCCCAGCTGTGGTGTTTGGTCAGGGAATCTTGCCTTTCCCTGTCAGAGCCCCAGGGATCTAATCCTCTGTCGCCAGCAGAGGCTGTTCCATCCTGCTGTTGCTGGGAGGAATGACTCGTTCACTCCTCCCTGCTCCCCTCTCAATGGAGAAACAGGCCTAAAATCAAACGGGTAAAGCCCTGGGCTGTCCCTGTCTTCCTGTCCCTGTCTGCCCTGTTGATACTCTGGTGATTTCTAGGGCACTGAGGGATGAAAGCGTAGGGCTGCAAAACAGCTCTGAGTTGGGTTTGTGACTCTTCCCTACCCCTGCCTCACAGGATTGTGACTCCCCGGCCCCTGCCCTCAAAGCTTCAGACCCCTCAGGTAGCAGGACCTTGGGATCTTGGCTCCTTGGAACAGAGATGGTTTAGCATCTTTCCAGGAGGGCCTCAGGTTCCTCGGGGTTGTGCCGCCCCCGAGTTAGCATATCTCAGACTCGCAGACTCAACACAGCAGGGTGGGAGACAGCTGGGCACAGGGAGATTCTGCTCAGCATGGGCTCTGAACCCACGGAACTGACAGGCCCTGCTTCCCCACCCCTCCTCAGGCTCCTGCGAGCACGTCACCCTACGCCTCGCCCCTGCCTGTTCTCCGCTGGGGACAGCAGAGTGTTCACCCCGTTGTCGTCGTCTTGCCATATTTCTACCCCTGCAGCAAAAGGTTCTCCAGTGACACTGGACAACCCTGGGGCCGCTGAGCCCTGGCCCGTCTCCTCCCTGGAACCACGGGGAGGAAGCTCAGCACTCCTACACTGTCTCTGTTGAAGATAAATTTTTATTAACTGAATTATGTTTTTTTCATGGACCAAATTTTTTTTTGTATTATCCCTTTATCAGTGTCACCCAGTTTTAATAAAAGAATCTTCTGAAGGGTGAGTTCCCTGCCTCCTGTAGGAGAGCTTCTTTGCCATGGTCAGCCCAGCTTGCAGTGCATTTGACAGTTTTTAGTGAGCACCTGTTGTGTGCCAAGCCATGGTACCAGACACTGGGGATCCAAGTTTCTTCTCTGTGGACTCAGGGTCTCATCTCGGAGGCCTGTGACCCCAGGCCAAGTGCTGCTTGGGATTGTTGCCCTGCAGTACTGGGGCCTTAGGGTCTGCTTCAGTTCCCCTGTACATCAGCTACTGCCAGGTCAGTGGCACTGCAGTCTTGTCCTTTATTCCTCTAAGCTTGCCAGGCAACTTCCTGGCTGGGATGAACTGCCCTCAGGCACATGTGGTCCCTTAGGGTTGACAAGCATGCATTGCCTCTAGAGGTTCTTCATGTCCTCAAGGCACCTGTCCAGGTGCGGCCAAGGCTAAGGCTTGCACAACAGCTGAGACAGGTTTTCTGAGTCTGCTACCGTGTTTACCCCAAAATGAGACCTAACTGGAAAATCATAGTTGCTCGTTATCATAGGCGATGGCCAGTATCATGTGGAAAGTTAAGCCTCACTACTCTTGTTCAGTGGCTACTCTAATGGCAGGTAAAGCAAGGATAAAGGTAAAGCTGATTGGGACTGCCATTTTTTATTTCTGGTTAGGTCTTGTTCTGGGGGAAACCCCGTACTTGAGTTCCACTGAAGGCTCTGAGAAGGATGTTCATTGTCAGGAGTGGTGGTATCCTCTTACAAAATAGCCAGCCCCTCATCTGCCATTTGGAGGAAAGCTGAGGGTGATTGTTTGCATTAACAAAAGGATGGGATTCTGCAGTTCCACCTGCTCCCCACCTAGTGATCCTGCTTTCCTCTTCTGTGCCATTGTTCAAAAAGAAGAAGGGTAGTGTGCATGCCTATAATCACAGCACTTGGGAGGCTGAAGCAGGAGGATCACCTTGAGCTTGAGGCCAGCCTGAACTGCAGAGTGAGACCCTGTCTCAGAAAAAAAAAGTTTTAACCAAAACGATTCTTTTCCTCCATGGGAGGAGAAAACTCCGGCATTGTCTTGCAGTCAAACCCAACCCCTGTTCCTAATCTGGAACTTGGGGGTTTCTCAGACTTGAGCAGGGACAGTAGAGGAGTATGTGGGGTGGGAAGTTGGAGTGGAGAAAATTGATGTCAAGGGCATCTAAGTGACATCGGTCTTTGCCCAGGCTAATTACAAGTTAATGAATGGCTGATAAATCATTAATTTCAAGCAAATAATTACAGTTCGCTCTCAGGGAAGGAGTTCTGGGGGCACAGATGACTTCCCATGATAAGCCAGTTCTGAGTCAGCAAATGCTGTCTTCCTACCACCTACAGTGACCGAAGGCTAAGAGGGAGGCAGTTAGGCAAAACCAGGAGGTCATTTCAGTACAAATGTCCGTGCTTTGGGGCCCCTATCATGTGCCACGGACAAAAACATCCTTTCTCTTCCATCTCCCATAGTACCACAGCTGGCGGCCTGGCACTGGTGCCTTCGTTTCAGTGCCAGTGCAATAAAGGAGCAGGCTGGGGCAGGCAAGCCTCGTATAAGGCTTAACTTTGTTCTAAAGGAAACAACCAGCTAGTGATTTCACGTACCTTGCCCTCGTGGAGACTGGCCGTGGGAGAATACGATAAGCTTTTCCTGAGCAGTCCCTGGACCTTACAAAATTCTCATGGTGACCTCCCGCCCACTTACTCTTCCCACTGGTTGCACCCAGACTCCAGCCCAGTGCGCTTTACTGGTGGTGGCCCCGGGGTATGGCAACGCCCACTCAGTAGTCTGCCAGGCCAGGAGGTCAGCACGTGAGCAGGCAGTGCTGGTGCTGTCTGCCCTCTAGGCCAAGGTGCAGGCTGTTGGAGGGTAGGAGCCTCTTGTTTCACTCGAGACCAGCCTGGAAACCGGAGCTCCTCCTCCTCTTAGTCAAACAGATGGCTGTGGGCGATGGACAGAGCCTCAGCTGCTGAATGTGTGCCTGCTGGCCTTTTCCCTTAAAGACACACTGCTCACTGTCACACTTCTGATCCCGTAAAGCTTGGGAGGACACAGCCACCTGAGCTTTAGAAATAGCTACCCGGTCCCGGCGCTGTCCCCCTTTCTGATTTCTGGAAACTAGCCATTAACCTGGGGGAGCTCCCCAGGTAGTGAGGAAACCCAAGAGAAGGAACTGAAGGGAACTTTGGCCACTGCTGCTTCTGTCAACCCCAGAACTGTGGGCCACGTAGCACCAGAGCTCTCTGACTTTGACCTTCCCCTGTCTTTCCTGCAAGATATGCAGGTGGGGATTGTTTGAGGCCCAGAAAGGCCCATGGATGAAGTCCCAGAGACGGCTACTGCGGCAACCAAGATAACCTTGTCCTTTATGTCTCCCTGGGTCTCAAACCGGGGCTGGCCTGCCCCAAAAGTAAGCCCGCTCTTACTATGTGGCCCATGTGTGCCCAGCCCCCTCACCCACAGGCCTGCCAGTAGAGTTGGTGTGGAGCCAGTAAGAGGATGAACTAGAGCAGCTGTGGGTGGGTAATTGCTGGGGAGAGGTGGGTAATTCTTACCTCTGAAAATGAAACAAGCACTCTGGAGGCTGAGGCAGGAGGAGCATTGTGAGTTCGAGGCCAGTCTGGGCTACAAAGTGAGCTCAAGGCCAGCCTCAACTGCACAGCATGACGCCGTCTCAAGAAGACAAAAAAATGAAATAATCAGTGTGGTGGTGCACACCTGCAATTGTAGCACTGCAGGAGACTGAGTCAAGAAGATGGCGAGTTTGAGTTCCACCAAGGCAACTTAGAAAGACTCTCAAAAAGCAGGTTGAGTGTGTAGCTTAGTAGTAGAGGACCCCTGGCTTCCACCCCCATTCCCTCGGGATGGGGGTGGGGTAATCCCACACCTGCTACTAGCGTTAATAGGCTAATTACAATTTATTCCAGTGCTGGGGATCAAAGGGCATTGAGGGGAACCAATCATTTGCTCCTTATCTGGGCTATTTCTTGGCAGACCTCAAAATGACACCATTGCAAGAGGGATAGGAAAGCACTGTCAGCTGCAAACCTGAGTAAAGCCTGCCTGCCTCTGCCCCGTTCCCATTCCCCACCTGTCTCTACCCTTTTCTCCCCTTTCCCTGGCTCTGCCAGACTGCCGATCGTCCTGGGCGCCAGCCTCCCAGCCAGCCCTGGAGGCGGGGCTTGGCTGTACCCTCGTGTGGTGGAGTTAAATGCTCCCGCCGGCACCAGCGGCTCAGGCAGAGAAGCGGCACCATGGCTGGCAAGAAAGTCTGCATTGTGGGCTCTGGCAACTGGTAAGCAGCTCTGTCAAGGGTCAGGGGGAAGGAAGCTTCCCAACGTGCAGAGGGGCTGGGGCAGAAAGCTGGGAAGGCAGGAAGCAGAGGGTGGGGGGGAAATGCCCTTAGGTTCCAGCTCAGCCCCTGTCTGTCCTCCATGCCTACGCGCAGGACAGACAGTGCCCAGACCTCCCCGCCCTGTGCCTGCCTGGGCCGCTGCACCTGTTTGCCATAGGAAGGCAACCAGGCGCTCCCTTCTCTATCCGAAAAGCTCCTTGGGCTGGGGGTTGGGATCAGAAGGCTGGCTCGCTCCTCCAGCAGCGAAGTGTGAGGTAGAGTGAGGATCCTTTCCATTGCCAGCTCATGGGGGACATACTTGGCACAGGGGTGAGGTGACCATAAACATGAGAAGGAGATACTCTGGTGGGCGGCGGTTAAACCCTGGAATGAGACTACCCCCACCTGCCAGTGTCCCCTCCCTCACACCACACTCCTCCACTCTGTTGTGTTCCCCTCCTGCCAGGGGCTCAGCCATTGCCAAGATCGTGGGTGGCAATGCAGCCCAGCTGGCACATTTTGACCCACGGGTGACCATGTGGGTATTTGAGGAAGACGTTGGGGGCAGAAAGCTGACAGAGATCATCAACACGCAGCATGAGAATGTCAAATACCTGCCAGGGCACAAGCTGCCCCCAAATGTGGTAAGCGCAGCCACCCTGCAAGGGAGGGCCTTGAGGGGAGGAAGCACCTGAGGGAAGCACAGGCGTCAGCGCTCAGGGCCCCTGAGAGCGGCCACTGTGGGTGCCAGCTGGACTTTGGCAGAATCTCAAGAGGGCTGCTGTGGACACGGGACACCCCTGTTCGTGCTCTCCTAGGCACTCTGTCAGACGGAGGAGAACCTGAGCATACCTCCCCCTTCCAGGCTCCCAGGCCGAAGGGAGGAGGCCAAGGAAGTTGGTCTCTATGGCAACCAAATTCTCGTTGTCAGGCTCCCAGACTTGGGGTCCAGGTAGTGCCTGCCGCAGGCTCTAATCCCATTATCCATGTACTGCGCTATTAGCAGACTTGAAGGCTGTTCCTTGGACTTAGGTCTTTGGTCAAATGCACACAGCTCTCTCCCTACCCAGAGAGGGGAACAGGGAAGAGAGCAGAGAGGCTGGGCTCTCCCTTCCCGGTGGGGGCCCTCGGAGGAGCAATGTGATGAAATCTCACTCAGCCTCTTCCTCCTGCCAAGTCCAGGCAGCCTTTGGCTTCCCTCTCTGTCCCACAGCCAAAGACTAGAAGAGCACTGGCAGAGGGGTCCAGGAGTCCTCAAGAGCCCAGGGCAATGACAGCAGGGGGACTGATGGCAGGGCAGGGAGGCGGAGGACTTGCTCCTCCAAGCCCAGTCTTCCCATGCTTGGTCCCTGACACCCTTTCCTTCTGAACCTGCCCCCAGCCTCCTCTTCAGTGTCTAGCTTTCCTGAGTGAGTTCCTGAGGGGCTGGGGGCAGTCTGCCAGGCCCCTGAGCACCTGCTCATCCCGCAGGTGGCTGTCCCAGACGTGGTCCAGGCTGCCTCGGACGCTGACATCCTGATCTTTGTGGTGCCCCATCAGTTCATCGGCAAGATCTGCGACCAGCTGAAGGGCCACCTGAAGGCCAACGCCATGGGCATCTCTCTGATTAAGGTGCCAGGAACACCTTCACGTGGGTGGGCGTGGGGTGCAGCTGGCTGATGTGGGGCTTGAGGCGGGGAAAGCCAGTAGAACAGAAAATGGCAGGAATAGGCTGAGCTCCCAGGCAGAAGACAGGATTAGGAAAGTGTCCGTGCTCGGGGCCATTGGCTGGAGGTTGGGCGGGAAGCAGATGAGAAAGTGGTTTGGGGGCTGGGGATTTAGCTCAGCGGCAAGTGCAAGGTCATGAGTTCGATTCCCGGTACCGGAAGAAACATAAAACAAAACAAAATGAAAGTGGTTTGGCCGCGCAGGTCTTAGGAGCATCAGGAGACTCACAAATAAGTCTTTCATATGAGAGACTAGGGATTGATGGTGGGACAGGGAGGTGGAGGACTTGCTCCTCCGAGTCCAGACTTCCCAGATTTGGTCCCTGACACCCTTTCCTTCTGAAAGGCTGATCTGAGGGGCACCAGAGGGGAGCTGGTCTGGGGCCACGACAGGGCAGGAGGCTGTTCAGGGATTTGGAGGGGATACGCTGCTCCAGAAAGAGAAGTTGGTAGAGTACATGGGAGGACAGTTCCCTGTGGCTGGCTTCTTCCTTGCCGTCCACCCTCCTCACGGCCAGCCATGGCTGGGTGGGAATGGCCCAGGACCTCTGGGGAAGAGGCACTGATAAACAGTGGATTTAGGAGGGGCAGGATTTCTGGGCATAAAGGGCTGCTGGTCTGAGCTCCATCCTATGCCCAGGGGGTAGACGAGGGCCCCAATGGGCTGAAGCTCATCTCTGAAGTGATTGGGGAGCGCCTTGGCATCCCCATGAGTGTGCTGATGGGGGCCAACATTGCCAGCGAAGTGGCTGATGAGAACTTCTGTGAGACCACTATTGGTGAGAGCGCCCCGAATACTCCACACAGCTCTAGTTGCTTCCCCTCCCCGAACTCTTCCCCTGCCCTGTAGCCACCTTCCTCCACAGGCAGGGAGAGGAAGTGTCAGAGATGAGGGAGGGCTGGGGCAGCCCCGGGAAGGGGTTGCAGGTCCTGCTTAGGTGTGGGAAGAACAATCTAGAGTCTCCCTCTAGACAGGCACCATGGGACATGTCTGTAGTCCCAGTACTTGGGAGGCTGAGGCAGGAGCATGACTAGATCCCAGGATTTGAAACCAGCCTGAGCAACACAGTGATCCCTGTCTAAACAAAAACAGAAAAGGTCCGTCCTGAAAGCCTTGCCTGTTTTCCACTTAAGGCTGCAAGGACCTGGCCCAGGGACAGCTCCTGAAAGATCTGATGCAGACCTCCAATTTCCGGATCACAGTGGTGCAAGAGGTGGACACAGTAGAGATCTGTGGGGCCTTAAAGGTGAGAGGGGTACAGAGCAGCTATGGGCTTGGGATAAGGCCCCAAAGGAGGGCCTGGCTCAGCTCTGCGAGGGCTGATAGCCCCGGTCTCTCCTGGGCAGCCAGTCCCCTTCTCTATGAAGCACCCCCCCAACCAAGAACTGCGGAAGCAAGGCTGGGGCACGCAGGCAAGGATGGACTGGGGCACATGATGGACCCGAGTGCCCTTACCTCAGCCAGTGAACTTCTCCCTCCCCCTTGTGCTGTCTGTGGGACACCCTATGCCTGGCTTAGGGGTGGCCCACGGGCAAAAGGAGATGCCAAGATTAGTGGGAGACAGGTGTCCAAGACACCCAGAAAGGTTCATGGCCAGAACTATGGATGCTGGGCAGCTATGGACCCAAGGACTACAGAATGGAACAGAATAGGCCTGGATGGCAGAACCGGCTGAAAAGAAAAGTAGCTCTCAGAAAAGGTCCTCAGGGATGGAGTATGGGGGTGGGGCTAAGAAAGGAGGTGTGGCCTGAGGGAAAACCGGGAGGTAGATGGTTTAGAATCACATCCACTATGCGTCCTTGTTCAGCGCGCACGGCAGGATGTGAGGGCGTGAGGCAGGCGCTGAGGGGGGCAACCCGGCCTGCTGGAGGGTCCTTTCTCACGCACGCCCTCTCCTCCCCAAGAATATAGTGGCCGTGGGGGCTGGCTTCTGTGACGGGCTGGGCTTTGGTGACAACACCAAGGCGGCTGTGATACGGCTGGGGCTCATGGAGATGATCGCCTTCGCCAAGCTCTTCTGCCGTGGCCCTGTGTCCTCTGCCACCTTCTTGGAGAGCTGCGGTGTTGCTGACCTCATCACCACCTGCTATGGAGGGAGGAACCGAAAGGTGGCCGAGGCCTTCGCCCGCACTGGAAAGGTGGGCTCTGTGGGCATCGCCGCGAGGCGCTTAATAGGAGGCGGCTCCTCAGCACAAATATTAAGACTGTTGTGAGCCTCGCCGCCTCTGTTTCCCTCCAAAAGTCCGCCTCCCTCTGAGCCCCAGACTGTCCAGCTTGTATGAACAGCCCTGCTCTCACACTGCCACCCACGTCCTGCTTTCTTTACAGTCTATTGAGCAGCTGGAGAAAGAGATGCTGAACGGGCAGAAGCTGCAGGGGCCCCAGACAGCCCAGGAGCTGCACAGCATCCTCCAGCACAAAGGCCTGGTAGACAAGTGAGTGCCACCTCGGGCCCGGGGCGCCGGAGCCACGGGCCAGGTGCTGTCCCCATTCACCATCTTCCTGAGCTCTGCAAGGCCTGTGAATGGGCAGAGAAGGAATGTGACTATTTGTGTCCAGAGTGTGAAGGGGCAGGAGCACCCAGCGGCCTCAGCCAGGTCATGGCCTCGTGCTCAGCCAGTGCTCTTTGTGCTGTGTTACTTGGACCCTGCTGCAGAGCCTCCCATCCTTGCCTCCTTGTCCTTTTCTTTCCCCTTTTTCCTAGTTTTTTGAGACAGGGTCTCACTATGCAGTTCAAGCTGTCTTCAAACTCACTTTGTAGCCCAGGCTGGCCTTGAACTCATGGTGATCCTCCTGCCTCAGCCTCCCGAGTGCTGAGATTATGGGCATGCACTGCCACAACTGGCAATTTGTCCTTTCTCTGGGGATTGAAGCTCTGGGGGAGTATAAGCTTGTCTGGTTGTCCTACCTCTTTGTAACCCCAAGACCAGCCCTTCTAGCCCTGGTAGCCTGTCCTAGGTACTGAGGAGGACGACTTTGCTGTAATGACTCCTTTCCAGGGAGCACGGTGGGGTGACTGGGCTGAGCAGGACATGGCTGGGCTCTGTTGGCCTGGGAAAGAATCCTCGAAGAGTATGAAACAGGTTCAGAAGAGCAGCTCATAGCCCCAGATTACAGGAGCCTGGGCAAGGATGGCAAAGGAAACTGGCGCTTACTGACACCTCGCATAATGCATAAGCATGTGTGCATAGATACATCTTCTCTTCACTGCTTTGTCATGTTGATGATAGTGAGGCTCAAAAGGGGTGTAGGGGTTGCCCAATGGGGAAAACAAAACAAAACTTGAAATCAGGGAGTCACGTAGGCAGGTTCAGTGTGACAGCTAGCAACCTGACCCCAAAGCTCACGGCTGGGGAATTCAGGTTCTGAAGTCCAGGGTGGTAGGTGGGGCTGGGGGTGTGGGAGTAGAGACTTAGGAGGTGGCTGAGGACTGGCGGGCGAATAGACCAAGAGCAGGAGACCAAGTGGGGGGTCTCCCTTTGCTGCAGGTTCCCGCTGTTCATGGCTGTGTACAAGGTGTGCTACGAGGGCCAGCCCGTGGGTGAATTCATCCGCTGCCTGCAGAATCATCCAGAACACATGTGAGTGGGGCCAGGGCCCAGGACAGGCAGCTTTTTCACCCCATCAGACACAAGGTGAAGCTTGCAGCTAGCAGGCCACCGGCCTCTCCAGGACTCCTCAGCAAGCAGTCATCTCAGCTCTTCCAGGAGCCGGAGGCTGCGGCTCAGCTACACACCTGGAGTTCCGAACTGAGAGGCTTGCAGCCTCTTGCTGGAAATGGAGCTGCCTTGTGTCTCTCCAGATGCAGAGCTTTCTCCCTGGAGGGAGGGACGCAATCAAGGCCCAGTGCTGCCTGCTCTCAGGGTGTGCGTGTGTGTGGGGATTAGGGGAAGGGGCACCAGGACAAGGGCTGCCAGTTGCTGCCTTGCACAGACCAGGAATTTGTCCGCGGACCCCAGGAAGCGGCTAAAGAAGTATCTTAGCCATAGGAAGGATGAGGCCAGGGCCACCGGGGAGGGACCGAGTATTTCAGCCGACAGCCCCAGGGCCCGCACAGCATCAGCGGATCTCAGCATTTGGTAACAAAACAAAGCCCCTAAGCACCCCTCCCTGCTTCTCCTAGCAACATTCACATCCTCAGAAACCTCTGCTTGTCCCCGCTCCTCCTCCCTCAGGCTGCCCTGGCACAATAGTGGCTCCCTGCTGGCACCTCTGCCCCTGGGGCTTGCTGTTCTCCCCAGGGCCTTTCTGGACCTGAGAACGTTGCCAGCTCCTCCCCGCCCTGCGTGACCTTTCCAAATCTTCCTCTGCCCTGCCTGCCAGCACCCTTTGGGGAGCAGAAACTTAATCTGCTGACAGCTACACCTTTTCTCAGCAAGTTCAGACTGCTGGGTCGGGTGACCTTTGTGCTTGCCCAGCCTCCCTGTTCGGAGCTCTGGCTGGAAGGGCACAGAGCTGGGCCCCTCCGGCTGTTCGTCTCCCCAGAGGCCACCCTGGCCCTCGCGCCCCCCCAGCCCTGCACCTCTTTCTCAACTGCCCCTGAGCAGCCAGGACGGCTAACCAGCACCTGGCATCTGGAGGGCTGCTGGGTGGGTGCTGATATTCCAAAGCCAGCCCCTTCTCCTTGAGTGAGGGTCTCCTCAGGAGGTACTGAGCACTGGGAGAGCAGGGGCTGGGCAACTCGAGGAGGAGGAAGAGAGCCACGCTGCCCGCTGGGGTGAGGGACAGACAGGAGGGAGGAGAGGAGTGTGCTTTACACTGGCCTTGCTCCAGGGCTGGGTGCAGCAGGGGAATGTCCCAGGTCAGCAGCCTAGGCCCCTAGCTATAAATAGCCCTGAGGGCTGAGGCTCCCCTGTCCAGCAGGGGTCTGCGCTTCCCCTTCCCTCTGGCAGGACCTGGCGCTGGGCAGCTTGGTATTCACCCCCTCTCACTCCCCACAAACCAGGGTGTTCCTCTTGGCTGCCATTCAGAATTCGCTCTGACCGCGAAGGGCAGAGCTGCCCCGATCAGGCTGCAAGATGAGGGGCACAGCCACCCCAGGCCTGGCTGGGCGGGGTCCAGGTACTGACAGGATCCAGAGCTGCCCTTCCCGGAGGTTACGGTGGGCCACAGGCCTTGCAACGCCTTTGCCTACTTCTGCTTAATCCACAATGAACTGTGAATCCGAGGTCTGCCGTCGGGTCACCTGTGCACTCAATAAAGCGTGGCTTTTCCAGTAACAGCTGAGAAAGGGCTTCCTTCACTGCACGAGAGTGTGCGTGCTGACGTGCATCACCGCGTGCGTGTCTCCACCCTTCCCACGGACAAATGAAAAAATCCCTCCTCGATAACTGCAGCCATTCTCCATCCAATCGCAGGGTCCACGCGGTTCCCTTCTCCTTCCTCCCTGGCCGGCGTCCCATGCCCCGTCTTCCCAGAAGCTATCCTCTCGGAGTTTGGTAGGGGCTTTATCACGCCGCCTGCAAAGGGCAAACCACGGGCAGGGCCTCTCGGCGCCGTCAGGTCTCACCTGAGCTGGGCCCTCAGTCCGAGCACCCTGAGAGGGCTGCTCCAGGCTCTAGGGGGCGCACAGTCCACTCCGGAGGGCTGGCTCGGAGAAAATCTACCTGGCTACCGGAGACGTCACGGAGCTGTAGGCTGGGGATTGGATGATTCTCATTCTAAACGTTCGTGTTCCCGAGCTCCAGTCCTCACAGACGCGGTCTCCATGAAGCGTAACCACAACCCCCAGAATCCAATGGGCCTCTCGGGGAGGAGGGCTCGTCTGAGGATGCGTCGCAAGGGATAACTGACCCGGAAGCCGGAAGTTCAAAGCGGGTCACCAGCACGGGCAGCGGCGGGGCGACTCCCGCCATAGGAGGCGGGCTTTGCGGGGCCGGGGGGCGCTTTGCTTCGTTGGGCCGGGAGCGAGTCCTACAGGCCAACGCGAGCGGGAAGAGGCGCCGCTTTCCACACCAATAGCTGAGGCGTTTGGGGTTGCTCGCGTCCCGTTCCGGGCGTGGCTTGCGGTCGTCCTCGGAAGCTGTGCAGACCGCGGCGGCGAGACGCTGCCGG